AAAGGAGAGAGCTACGCTGTGCGAATATAAACTGCAGCTACGGAGAGGTAAAATGTTCTCTCTAGGGTGGGCGAAGGCTCTAAACTTATTCACACAATGGCAAATTACCAGGCCTCCAGTAAGAAAGACAGAATACGGGTGATCGAAGGTAAGAATTCTGATCAAGACTCCATTAGTCGACATATTGGTCTACCACACGCGTATCAAGCGTATGTACAACTAATTTTCTAGATAACTCACACCGCTCACTCGAACAAGAGCATAGCCAATAACTTTACTTTTTCGAACAGGAATGAGCGCACAACGATCTACTGGCTTCCCGAAACAAACAAGCTTCGTATGGGTGGCAAGGGTCGCGAACAAGCAATCAACTTCCAGGCTGAAGTCAGTCAAGTTGTGAAAACAACCGCAAGAATCTTACAAAAAGATAGTCCAAAAAGGAACTGAAAAGATTACGAGGATCATACAAAGCGATCGATCCCTTTATCAGACGAAATAGTTAGTGGTAGAGGAAACAGAAGTCGCCCTTACAGTAAATGACGATAATACACTTTGATTGCAAATACATAGGCAAAATGCCAACGGCATTAGAAGGTCCGTGACAGTTGTGAGAATAGTTTCACCCCGTCAGTACGGTTGCAAACTAAAAACGATAAAAAAAATCTGCCTAGGAGACAGTTCTGCGGCTGATAGAAACGACAACGAAAACGGAGACAGGAGTGCAACAAAATATTCACCTGATAATAGTAGGCCAACACCCAACACAGGCCAATCACATACTCGTGGGCGACCTTGAGACAAAACTCCGGCGCGTCTGCTGGATCAACGCCAAACTTGGACTGGTAGTAGCGCTCACGCCAACCATCCTCCCAGAGACGTACCTCATCACAGTTGTCAATCTTTTCGTCCTCATCCATCTGATCCGGATTATCCTGGTGACAGAGACAGAGAGGGCATTTAAATAATGGATGGACAAAACAAATGGTACATTCAGTGGGTCCTCCTCTCATTTCTCTAGGTATAGCCTAGACGAGCTAATGCGGTAGATCGAGGAAAGTAAAACTCAAAGGAGACGCACTAGTCGTCTTAGGTGGATATTTCAACGTATTGCAATCTTATATGGTTAATGCCGGATGGA